GTCATAGCTGGTAAGTCGAAAACAATGCACAGGCGCGAATGTCGGCATTTGCGTGTTATATTTATCTGCTCCTGCAACACTCGGCATTGGCATAGCGAACGACTACATAGTCATCTTGGAATGTCGGGTTAAATCAGCAATTTCTTCCCGTTGGGCTGCTACAAAGTATAAATGTTTCCTGCCACTTAAAGTTAGCACGCTTTGAACTATGTAGGTTCACATTGTCTTCGACATCGACAGTCATTGTGTTCGGCTGACGCACTGTCACGAGGTTCAGGATTTTCGTCCGCCATTATCACTAGCACTAACTTCTAGTTAAATTACTAATTATAGTCTATTAACCACGGTACGCGTATTGATCCCACTTCTGATAACAGAAGGGATTTATCATCCCTAATAAAAAGGTCTAAACTACTTTTTAAATGGTTTAATTTACGATAAAGTATTCTCAATTACAATGATGTATTGCCACTGTCTATTCGCGTACTGCCTACTGCGCTGCTTTTCCTTCTCCCGTTCGTCCATCCTAACACGCATGTGTATGGACTTCGAGAATGTGTAGTGGGGTGTAGGGGCACACCGCTAATAAGTATATACTTTTGCTATAAAATAAAAATCGCATTATTTGTTTGAAATATGCAAGCTTTCCCTATATATATATCCTTCTCTATTCACATTATTATACAGACAACCTTTGCGAACTTTCTCAATCACCTTCTCAGAATAATATGTCATCCAATATTCTCGTGACGTCACTGTCTACTGATGAGTTCTTATTGGTTAAAACTTACGAGGCAGCCGATATGCATTAGTGACCGTGGGTCTGACAGACGTATTTTTGACTCCAGAATATCATCTAGTATAATTTATAGAATAGAATAATGTTTATTTATCAAAAGATAATAAGTACAGAAAGTAACGTAGGTACATTATGAGGTTAGAAAGTTGATTAACAATTTAAAAACCAAACATGAATAAAAAAATTAAACAAAAAAAAATTCGTTAGGAACAATCAGTGGGTTTTTGAATATTAAATTAAATATTATTGTTTCGAAACAAACAAAACATAACATAAAAAACGAATTGTGTTTATATAAACTTTACATAATTCTTCATCTTTTTTTTGAACACATTTACACTTGAACTTGCTTTGACGTCATCAGGCAGAATATTAAACTGAACTATACCCTTATGAAACAAACTTTTCATGGAGCTGGTTTTGTTACTTTGTCACATAAAAATTTATAGAATTTGCCGTTCTAGTGTTACGCCCGTGAATATTTGCAACTGGTACAAGCTGACAGTTTAAGTATTCAGGTAACATGTTGTTAACAATTTTATATATAAATATCATCGTCTGAATATAAAGTAGATGTTCAACTTTCATCCAATTTAAAGCTTCCAACATTAACTGTAAACTAGTAAAACGATTACATCCCAATATTGCCCGCATTGCCTTATTCTGAAGGATTTGTAACCTATCAAAATTAGAACACCCTGTATAAATAATAGTACTACAGTAATAGAAATGAGGTAATATCAGTGTATTATAGATGGTTTGTCTAGTCGATATAGATAAAAACAGTGATGCCCTTCTCATAAAACCAATTTTTTTAGACATATAACCAATGTGCTTATTAAATTTCAATTCTCTGTCTAGTATTAACCCTAAGTATTTTATTTCTTCAACATTCTTAATGACTTCGTCATTTATGACTACATTTAAATTTAAACCTAAATACTTATACAGAAAATTATTCCCAATAAACATAGACTTCGACTTTATTTCATTTACTTTTAATTTATTAATATTAAATTTCTCTGTTAATAATTTTAATTCTGATTTTAAAGTTTGAATTACTGTTCCAAAATCTTTCCCATACCAATAAATTAATGTATCGTCAGCGAATAGATGAATTTTACATTGGTTTAGTACCGATCCCAAATCATTTATATATATTATAAAGAGTAAAGGACCCAAGACACTGCCCTGGGGAACGCCTACATCGATTAATAATAAATCTGATGTATTATCATTAATCTTTGTTTTTTGAAATCTATTTGATAAATAATTTTCTAACCAATCATATACAGAACCATTAAACCCATACCTTTTTAATTTTAATAAAAGAATTCTGCGATCTATAGTTTCAAAAGCTCTTCGAAGGTCTATAAAAACTGCGCAAATGCCAATTCCTGGTTTATCTAATATTTTTTTCATGTCAGACACAACTAACTGCAGAGCCGTTTCACAAGAATGTGAGTTTCTGAAACCTGATTGATAACTGCATAATGTATCATTTAAAAACTTCACAATTTGTTTATACACCTGACCTACCTATCTTTTTGTTACACCTTGTAAAATTGTTTATATGGACCCCTTTTTCCCTTCAAAAATTTCTGTAATTTTAAAGAACAATTCACATACATTATGTCAAAAATTTTATATGTGTGGCGACATTTGTTTGTCAGTAATAAAAAAAAATAGAGAAAATGAACATTATTTTAATATAATTTTGAGTCATTGTACAGAGTTATTCATTATAAATTACTTACCCTTTATAATCGTTATTTATTGCTTATGCAAAATTAATAAAAGTTTTGTGTGGTTAAGACTGAATTTTGTTAAACTGTCATCTGCAGATTTAACAAATCCATATGGATATTAGCTATTCTACTCACAGACTATGAAACGAAAAATTATACCATTGTGTTCAACTAAACGAATATATTTCATATCCTTTCTACCTAGTAAGAACACTGCAAAAATATGAAATCTACCAATAAGAGTTCATATTTTGGTCACCCGGCTATTATTTTTTTAGTTATTGAGTTTAAAGACACATTAAAGTTTAATAGTTATTCTCGTTTAGAATCGATAAATAATAGCATTTCTATTTCTTCTATATATACAGATAAACCATCAATTTTAATAAAACTGTATGAAATCAATTTAATTACGAGAATTAAAACTAAAATGTTTGGTGTGAGACTAGGGAATTTGGCTGTCATGCGAGAGGTCCGGGTTTAATTCTACGATTGGAGACAAATTAAATCTTTTTTATATTTTATAAATTAGTAAGTCATAAATTATTTTTAAATTAGTTATTTAATTTTGTAAATGTTAATTTCGTTAGTGGGTCGTAGAAAAATATACTCTACAACTCAAGTGGATTGTCTGTATCGCAAGAGGACAAAGTTTGAGGATGACGCCATCATCATCTGAGGCCATCATATCCCCTCTTGTTGCCCAAACTACTATTTTAACTGGGATACTCCGTACATTTTTACATTTTTTTGAATATTTTTCCTGATTTCAAAAATGTGATATGTTACCCTTATACTGTTTTCGAGTAATTAAATATCGAATATGTTGGTTAAAGTAAATATTTGCACTTTTTCTTTCACTTTTAATTACTCGAAAATAGTGTTGGCAGTCACTTTCAAAAGTGACAGAGAAAGTAATTAAAAGTGACCGGTCACTTTTGAATGTGACCAAATATATCCAGTTCACTAGGATAAAGTTATCATTATATCCTTGTAGTTCCCGATATATTTGGTACGTTGAAGAGCTCATAAAAATAACCTATTCAAAAATACCATTCTTGTCCACGAATGAAAATGACGGCATAGGTGATCATAAGTGACCTGGCACTTACTGATTTATAAATGACTGGTCAAACTTATCTTTATATCCCTGTAGTATCCCGCATATTTGGCTCATAAAGAAACCTATTCAAAAATACCGTTTTTAACCACGAATGAAAATGACTGCATAAGTGACCATAAGCGACAGGTCACTTACCGATTTATAAATGACTTGTCATTTGACAACACTACTCGTAAACGGTTTAAGATACGGGTACTATTTTTAAAATAAAAAAGAAAGATATTTCCAATAATTGAATAATATGTATTTGTTGTATCCCGTAAAATCTGTGTTTTTGATGGCATTTTAAAAAAAATTTGTCATAACCAAATACTTTTAAGTTAAAATATTTTTTGTATATAAAATAATAACGATGATAAAGGGTGGATAATTCATAATGAATAACACTGTATATTTTATACAGCGCAGGGTACACTTTGAAATAAAACATATGGGTGTTGTCGTACACTTTTGTTTCTCATCAGTACATGTCCAACATAAATAAATGTTTTTTGTTTATTTATTAAACAATCTGAGTATAAATTCAAATATGTACAATTGTAAGATACAATAGGCAACATTTTAGGTAACAATAATTATTACAAGACGATTTCAAATAAAAATTACCTACAATAAAATTAAACCAATGAATAAAATAAATCAAATATACATAAAATTTACACAATATAAATAATTTAATAATAGTTTTTTGTTTGCGGTAGTTAGAAATGCTGCAGAAGTGGAAGAATGATTAAAATTTCAGATATTTATAATTTTATTAAAACTAAAGACTTTAAGGTTGCAATTTACTAAGACATTTTTTAAAAAGCATCTACTTTTTCTGAAATTCTAATCATATTAACCAATATCCCAAAAATATTTATAAACATTAATTAAAATCTATTTTTGGAAACATTTTTAATATTGAATTAATTGATTTTCCACGAAGTAGTTTATGGGATCACGTCCTATATAGATTAACAAAAATCATTCATTTCCAAGCATTGTGCTAGTAACACCAACAGTTTTCGTATTAAAGAAATACAAAACAATTTATATTTTTTTTATTTATTTCATCTCTCGGATGGATGCTCTGAAGCGTGGCAGCACCACAGCCCTCAAGACTTACTCCGGTGGTTTATTATCACACAAAATGTCGTATATATTAATTGGGGTGTAATAAAATATTACATCATAAAATAGATAAGTTATTAACTTAAAATATAATATTTCTTTCTCATGATACAATTACACATACATTGCCAAAAATTTGTGATCCAAGTATTTTAGTATTTTTCTCTTAATTAGGACTTATAATTAACTAAATAAACTTATTTTTGCTTTTATTACGTATTTTTTTTTATATATTGTTTAAAATAATATACCTACTGGATACTTATTAGACCAGATACTATGGCGGCCTTTAAATTGTAAAACTGATTTTAAGTTAACAATCCGGTCATACCAAAGGTTTATTTAACGAGCAATGGACAAAAAAATTTCCACCCAGAAAAAATTTAATCCAAGCTCCAAATGTAAGTTGGGAAAGACTAGTTGATAAAAAGAAAATTATATTACTCACTTCATATAAAATTTGGGATTGATAAAACAATTTAGCTTAAGACAAAAATGGTGGTTATTTTACATTCTTGTATGAAACGTTTCCGGATGTCCGATCTATCTAAAGCTAAACGAAAGAAATGCGTTTTTGTTGGGCCACAAATAAGAAAGTTTACAAAATTGAGATGGTTGTGCAGAAAGATAATAAAAGAAGCATGGAGACATTTAAAAGAAGTAACTACAGATTATTTAAAAAGTATTATTGAAAACATGCTGGTTGTAATATGATCTGAAAAATTCACTTTCTTGACTATTCCGGTTAATCTCGGTGATGTCAGTGAAGAGCAATGTGAGCGATTTCATCAAGACATTAAAAAGGTGGAAAGGCTATCAGGGGCGTTGGGAAGTCAAAATAATGACAGACTACTGTTGACCGTCCTACAGCTGATTATAAACGTAAACAGACGAAATAGTTTTAAAGATAAATATTCTAGAAAATAAAGGAGTAATGAATCTCTTTTTTTAATTATTTTTGCAATTTTGTTATTGGTTTTGTTTTATTTAAAAACCTTATGTGATACAGATTTGAATCAGAACCATTTAAATATTTCATATCAGTTGGAAAACTTAATTCACATTTTATAAGGTGTTAAAACATGTGTTAATTGATTAAAAGCTGAATAATTAAATTCAACTTCATAATGTTAAAAAAGTAATTCGGTAATTGATCTTTTGATAGAAAAATCTCGGTGTTACTTTCACAAAATGCCGCTGGTTAAAATCCACATTAAAACAAATCACATCACAAAAAATATATATCTAAAATCTATATCACTTAAACATAAATTTATTACTACTATGTACAAAATGGACTTGGTTTGTTGGTGTATCATATTACTCCTTTCTTTATATACTTAAAGGGTTGACCTAGTAATAAATATGATGCCTTAAAATACACAAAACAAAATTTTAAATTTACTAGTTTCTCTAAAAAATGAAAAAAAAGTAAAAGTTATTTTCCGCAATTTTTTTCTAATAACTAGGAATATTTTTTTATCAATTTGTATTATTGCACTAAGTGTATTCATAACAATGTTTTAAGATCGGCGCTCTATCGACCATACGGGGTGATAAAAAAGCTTCATTTAGGACCAAGGGTAGACAACAAATGTTGATTGGATAACTTCCTGCCTTTTAAGGGTGTTTTCAGATTAACTTCCTTCATTTCCAGTACTTTTCCTGTTGAACATTTTACTTTATAAGAATCGAATTTTAGATAATATAAACTTAAAAATTTAAAATGTCTTAATATCCATAATATTGTACTGATGTCTACAACAAAAATGTATGAAAGCAAATGCCATCTTCGTAAAGAAATATTTAAACCAGCATTCTCATACAACGTGCCAAAATCTGAAAATAATCTTCTTAATGCCTAACTTTCTCCAAATAACTTCAAAATAAACCAGAAAAAATACCTTCTTACTTTGAGATGCTGATTAAAATTCTTGTATTAAACCACTGTATTAATGTCTTAATTATTTAGGTTTTTTTCTTATTTTCTCTGACTTAATCTTAGTATGTTATCTTAGAAAACTAAAGACCTTTTTTGACATTTTTTTTACATAAATTGGATTTAAAATTGTTATGCATTATTACAGCTCCAATTATATGAATATTTAGTATCTTCTTCAGTTTAAGTAATAGATCCACATTTAAAATAATTAAACTGGGGGTGGTCCCGAAAAATAGTTTTTTTCTAAATAATTCCAAAATAGTTCAGGATATTTGTGACTTGTATATTCAACCCCATGTTCGGCTTTTTCATATCAATACAGATTATAAATGAAGATATGCTTGGCCCCCAGAGTTCGGAAATGTAGATTTTGTATCACCCCGCATGACGTAAATATTCTAAAATGGCAAGTTTTTTTTTAATCAACATTTTATGATTACGGTGTTACTAACCCATTTGAAAATCGTCTACCTAATCAATAATTCTAACAGGATTTTTTTTTTTACTATTTTGCATCACCTGAGATGTCTGAATAACTATATTTAAAGTGAAAAAACAGAAAAATTTAAAAACCTCATTAACTTCTTATTTTAATGGGGCGTTCTTCAGTACATAACAAATTTGGATTATTCAAATTTAAAAAAAAAAAAGAAAACATATTGAGATTAAATTTTCCGATTAATTGCTTTGCTTTTTATGAACTAGTACGAAAGATTATCCATAGTCGCAAAACGAATTAGTCAAAAGAATAAAAAAAAAACTTCAAGTCAATATCATATAAAAATAGTTTTTTTTTTATTAATAACTGAAAATGCTACTACTTTCGGCTAACTGGCTATCAGGTGTGTAATAAAAAAATTCGCAAATGTAACAGGTTGACAATTTAAAAGCAATTACAATACTTATTTCATACTTAAATAGTCACAGTTTTGAATGCATTTAATCACCATTTCATTTAAATAGTTGCTCATAATTAATCACACACTTGTTTTTCACTATTACTCTTCATCTTTATAAAATAATTTTTTACCACAACATTACAGTTTTATTTGTATTTTTGATAGCTAATTTCTTTAATTTTCTAAATATTGCTTATAAATGGCGAGTTAGCAGAAACTAGTAACATTTACTATTTTTAATAAAAAGTACTGTCGTATTCATTTGGAATTTCTTTGTTCTTTTGTTTTATGAAATATATAATTTTTACCCCAATTAAATTAAATGGATAAATAAAATAAAGTTTCCAACAATAAGGTGTCAACAGATCAAACATATACAGGACCGTCTTCGAGTTGTTTTATTTGTAACTGAAATAATCGAAAACAGTCCTGTATCACTGAATTATGTCTGCACAACAGAAGAGGTTAATTCTATAGACAACAATTATTATCCCATTCAACCTAGTACTTAACGTTTTAAAATATCCTTTTGTCCCTAAGTGGTACACATCCTATAGAAAATAAATTCCTTAATTATTAAAAGCACAAAGGAAAATTGCATCATAAAATGTTTTCTCTTTTTAAAAAAAAATTAAAATCCCGATCGAGATCCAGTATGTAACAGTCCACAGGATTCATGACAATCAGTTTGACATACGTGACAATTGACAGGTCACTATTTGTCAGTGTCACTTGTCACCGAATGTCAACGAATATAAATATAATGAAGTTTATTTTCACACTAAGAATATTGAAACGTGAATTGTAATATTGAGGTGGACTGATACTTTTGAATAAATAATCTGGAACAGATCCAGAAAATGTACAGATGATGTTCTGCTCTATATGATTCCATTTCACAATTTCTTTCACAAAAGAAATACACAAATAACGAAACAAAAAAAGAACAATTAAGCTAACTTTTGGTGTTCTTGGTGGATCTGTAAATGTGAAGTTAAGTCTAAATTTAATGAGGTTTCTCTAGGCTGTAAGACAGTACCTTCCTTTCATTCATTTCATGTAAAAATGCAGAGTCAACAAAGATTTCATTGCAGATTTGTCGTGAACGCGCTGATACCATTGTTTGCCATTTCGTCCATTATTTCTGTTACGTAAGCTGCTACATCTACTTCTTCTTTTTGGGCTCTAAGTATGAATGGATCTTGAAGGAGTTGTTTGTATTTGGGTCTTTGATTTTCCTGTTTTATCAAACTGAAAAAAAAAATAACAATAACTGTCAGTATATAATTCTAAACAGACATTATTCAAATTTGTACCTAAATGTTGGAATATAAATTTTTACAAACAACCAGTTGGCGCTATTAACCTTTCGATGCCGGAGAGAGACATAAAATGAACCTCGAAATTGAATCATTCCTCATTGTTTTTAAAAAAGTTTATATTTTAGGGAGTAATTTCAGTTTAATATTTATTGTTATTTCGACTAAACTCTATAAGCAAAAATCTTTAATTTATACCTATATATTTCGCAAAATTGTTCAAAATGTTTCCAGGGGTACTAAATGTAACTCTTTTGCCAAGTAAGTTTGAATTTGACTCCACTAGCGCACCTGTGTGCTTAGAACTTGCACACATCACGAAAACCACTTAGAACTACAGTGGTCTGTTTAGAAGCCTGACATAATTCTACAAAATGTGCTTTGGGTACAGTGGATAAAATGGTCAACGAATAATATTGAAAACGGGTTTCCAAAAGATGGACGTTTGTTAATTTACATTTTATAATACATATACAGGGTATTAGTATATTCGACCGACAACGCTCTACCACAGAAAGCTCTCGTTAATTGATGAATTTTGATATAGAAACATGAACCCTTAAGGAAGGACTCCTACTGATTTCTGACCGAATTTACGTCAAATTCGATTATGTCCAGGAGGTGCTATTATCTCTTGGCTAGGAATAGAATTATAGTGCAAATAATTACAGAAATCTTTTGCTGTAAATATCGATCGATTGCAATTGTAAAACCTGTTTTTAAAGAATTCGCAAGCGAAGGGATAAAATAGACTGAAACAATTTTAATAAAAAAAAAATTTTTTGAACTGTATAAATGGCTAATCGTTTTATAAGCTATTTATAAAATTATAAAAATAATAACTCTAGGGCTCATTTTGGAGTATTATGCATACTTTATTTTAATATTTTATTGTATTGTTTTGTAAGCATTAGCTATCACATTTTATTTAACGGAAATCGACTTTATTAATTTTTTTATATTTTATTAGTTTTTATTTATTTATTTCTTTAATTATTTTTTTATTTATTTTTATTATTTTTATTTATTTCTATTCATTTTTATTTATTATTTAGTTTTACAATACTCCCCATTTCTCCCGTCCTTAAAATGTGAAAATCCAAAACCTTGAAATGCGACATTATTTACTAATAATAAGAAGCTACAATTCCAATTTTCAAGTTCCTACCATTAAAAAAAGCGAAAGTCTCATGCAAACTTTCACCTCCCGTTTCCCCCCTTAATGTCTATTTTCAATTTCCTACCTTTAAAAGAATCGATACACCATACAAACTTTCTTTTCACCTTTCTGCCCTTTCTCCCCCTTCCCTCCTGTCTTTCATTTCTTCCCTTTCCACGTTTTCACTTAAATTATAAAAATCCAACAACCCTGAAACACACCATTATTTGTGATGGCAGCTACAATTCCTACCTTTAAAAAAAATCGATACTTTCATACAAACTTTTAACCCCCGCTTCTCTCTCTTAAAATGTGAAAATCTAAAAACCCTGAAACCCCGTCATTATTAATTTTTGCTCAGTTGTTGTATTTCAAATTTTCATGTTTCATGTTTGGTCATGACCACTATGCAAAAAATCATATCTGAAAAACAAAAACAAATCTATCCCACGGGAATCGTATATTTTCCCGGGATAAAAAGTAGCCTATGTGCTATTCCAGACTATAATCTATCTTTGTGTCAAATTTCATCCAGATCCGTTCAGCCGTTCTTGAGCAACAAACATCCATCCATCCAAACTTTCGCATTTATATATTAGTAGGATTATTATTATTACTATTAATAAAGACGTAGAAGATATGGACAAAAATGACGATTGTGCTCTCGGTGACGATTATTCAAAATGAGGGTATTCGTTTTTTAAAATATGTAACTACGTTTAGGTGAGAATGTAACCTCATTTTTTCAAACAGTTATATTATTTAACTTTTTTGTTGGTAAACATTTCTTATTTAAGGATAATGTAACTGTTTTCTGTTGAGAATGTAAGCCATGATTTGTGAAAATAAGGATACAGTATTTATATGTAACAAGGATGTAAGCCTCATTTTTTTAAATAAATCGTTCCAAAATTTTTGTAAATGTTTTTTAAATATTGTCCTCTATAATAATAATAATAATAACACTCTCCCTAATTCACCCCCTTACGAGTGAATTTTAACCCCAAAAGCTAAGTTTGTGCGGGGAAAGGGACGGCTATTATTATTATTTGGCGTGGCGCTCCGGGGCGACTTAGAGATGATTTATGGTGCCATTTGACTTACAGGTGAGGAAAACCCGGAAAACCTCACCCACCATCATCGAGACGGTAATGCATGGCGATTTTATAATCTGCATGTCATATCAACAGAAATTGAATTTCTATTAATACGGCACACATCAAATCCTAAACCGAACCATGCAATTTAGTTAAAAATCCACATGGTCCGGTCTGGGATTCGAAGCCCAGCAGTCTCTGACTCATAAACTTGCCTATAAATGAATATAAGCGCGTTAGACCGCTGCACCACCGTCCCGATAAGGAGACAAACTATATAATTTATTCTATATTTCGTAATATTTGTATTTAAATAATTTTTTTACTTGCATTTGATAGATTTAAAACAAATTTTAAACTCAATTATCTCAAAACTTACATAATGTGGCATGTAACCTTTTACGCCAAGGTCTTCAATTGTAAGCATGTGACACTTTTTTGATTCATATTATCGACGAAATGACTGCCACCTAGCGCCTGGGGGAGAGATTAACTACTAGGTTGAGAACACTTTGTTGCAATAAAAATACTAAAAAAGTGAGTTACAACCTTTTTGCACCAAAGGCTTTAATGTTTCAGAGATAACACCTTTAAAATAAAAAAAAGCATATATAAGTTTATAAAACTTAAAGACAAATAATTTGAAAAGCAATAAAACGATATGTACTTTGTTGTTTTAAGAAGTAAAAAGGTAACCCTCATACAATATTAATAATTTGTCTGGAAGTTGTTATAGGTTCCAAAAATTCTCCTGTAAAAGTACGGGACCTAGAAGTTTGCGATAGAAGACAAGTATTGCATTTATAAGAAAATAAAGTGACTTAAACTACTTACCATGTATTAACAAAATCAACAAACTCTGCAGTGAAGGTATTGGCATTATGACTAGTAGACAATCTTGGCGGATCTCCATTAACAACTTCATGTAGTTGATCAAAAACGCTCGACCATTTTTTGTAGGGAAAATGACCTGTTGCTACTTCCATCAAAGTTATCCCTAATGACCAGACATCACTCCTTACGTCGTATCCCTTGGCAGTTTGAGGGTCAATTCTTTCGGGCTAAAAAGATTATAACACATCCATAAATAATAAATTACTTGGGTATATTAAAAAATATTATAAATTAGATTTGTTTATTTGAGGATAAATTATGTGTTTCACAATCTGACTTACTGCCATATATGGCCGACATCCAGCATCCTTGGTTCTGGCAATGGAGTCCACCAACTGTCCAGAAATACCGAAATCACAGAGTTTAATATTACCACCCTTATCTAAGAGTATATTGCTTGGTTTTACATCCCTATGGATGATTTTCAGTTCTTCTTTAAGATAGTTCAATGCATTTACAGTAGCTAGGGCTATTTTAGCAAGAATAGGTTCCGGAATTCTCGCTTTCAATCTCTCATAAATGAATTTGTAAAATTTATCTAGACACGTATCCATCAATTCCATGCATATCCAGCAGTCTCCCTGAAAAGAAAGTAATAAATACGATCACTATCCAAAGGCTTTTGCGCTTCGCAATACAACCGCAAAGTTGACGTTTTCCGCGAAGTGACATTAAGTGACAGCCTTGTCGCTCGCCGAGAGGAAAATTTGACAGCTTTGTTGCTCGCCTAATTTAAATGAGATATATATTATTTCTTTTTAATAAATGATTTTCAAGTTATTTGTACGTAGTTTGATGTTTTATTATCCAAGTTAACATTGACTTTCAATATCGATTCCGTTTTGCATGATTAACTTAAATATAGGAAACACATTATGCGCTACTTACGAAAATTTTCAGTTTTTATATCTATTTCTTAAAATATGATCGTAGAAAAAATCTTGTGTGCATTTTAAGGGTTGCGCGGCCAACTTTCTGTCTCAAGCGGCAGAGTATCACTTTTCGCTCTTAATACACAAATAGCTATTGCAATTTAATGCTGAACCATTTTATGTATTATGGATTCTTGGGCACACATGAAGAGTTTAAAGAAAAAATACTTTGACTTAGATTTTTTGGCAGGTTGACCCTATTTTTCAAATATAATAAAAGCGGACTGTTCTGCAAAAAAAAGTTCAAAGGGAATACAAGCATGGGCTCCGCTTAATTGGACATGAGGTGCATATATCTTACATATCCATTTATCGTATGTACGTCCAGGACTAATTCTGGACGTTTTAAGTATGTCCAGTTTAGTAAATCCTCGGTTAAGATATAGATATCCATAGAACGTCAATTCTACCTGCTTCATTATATTTCCTTGGATTCACATTCGCATTGTATTATTATTTGGTTATATTATATAAACAACATATATAATGAGATAATATAAATAATTATTAAAGATGGCATTGTCCCAATATCCAATTGAATGAAGGGCAAATAGATAAAAAACGAAGGTCATTGCAAGAAAGGGACATTGTTGACAAGTGACATTTTATTATTTTTTATTATTATTTATTTAGATTTAAGCACGGAAATATTCTCAGAGCTCAGGTTTTATTAAAAAAAAGGAAAAAAACATGGTGTTCAATGTTCATGATTCGACGGTATATACATATTATATGAGTACAAGTTCTATCATTCCGCCATTTGACTGTGATTCGACTCTGTGAGTTTGTGGTTGATTAATATTAATTGTTTGCAGTTTGTACTATTTTTATCTCTGAGACATGTGGAAGTTTTCCAGTGAATACTACAAAGCTAAAAGGTTAGTAAATTCATAATGTCTAGCAGGGCAAACTTAAACAGATTGGATTTTCATATTGATCTGCCGTTCATTTTGAATAAGCGATTAAATTATTTTCAGGTTCAGCTGCGAAGGCAAATATGGCCAAATCAAGAAAAATTTTCCTTAAACATCCTGTTATTCCCCATTTGAGCTTTTGAAAATGTCCATGGAATGTTCTTAAATGGACATTCTTGAGACATCTTGATTATTAACAATGGACGTTCCAAAGACGTCCACGTCCGTGAAATGGACGTTGTAAGGATGTCCTGAATGTCCAAGCAAGACATTTTTAACACGTCCATAAAACGTATTTGTGCTATCTGGGTAGTTAATGGACTTTTGAATATTGATTATGAAATCGACCCTTGATACAATTGTACATGTTTGAATAGGACTTAAACTGAAAAATCTCGAAAATGAAATATTCTACAGGAACAACAAAGAGTCCTTTTTTTCTGACAAACTGCGTGAGGAATAATTATTAATCTTAACTTTTATGAAATATAGGGTGTTTAAAAAGTTTGGATTAAAATTTATTTCTTAGCCCTTGATTCTACACCAATGGATTATCGTAATTTATCAAATTAAGAGTGTCAACTAAATGTACTAATAACTAACATGTACATATTTTTAAATTAAGGTTAATGAAAATATTGCTGTACAAAGGACTCAACGAATATAATAAATTACCAACAAATATTAGTGAGAATATATTAAAAATAAAAATAAATGATATGTAATATGTACCATTGTACTTATATTTTATATTAATGTTTCATGTATAATTTATATTTGTTTCACTTTAGAACTAAGTTTTAAATTGTAAACATTTAATTAATGTTTTGCTATTGTATTGTTTGATATGAGGATATATTCTTATTACTAGATTCATTAATTCATTCATTAAAATATTTACCCTATAAAATGAAAACTGGGACGTTAACAGAAAAATTATATTTAGATTTTATTATTAATTAGTTAAAAATCTATGTTTTCTTGTTTACCGTCCTGTATTCTGAAACATCCTGTATATATATTTCTCTTCTTGATCTTAAAAATGTATTAAATTAGGATATATTCTTATTAATAGATTCATTCATTAAAATCTTTACCCTATAAAATGGAAACTGGGACGTTAACAGAAAAATTATATTTAGATTTTATTATTAATTAGTTATAATCTCCTTTATTCTGCAACACCCTGTGTATATATATATTACTCTTCTTGATCTTGAAAATGTATTAAATTAGGAGATAAAAGAATTCGGCTTACATATTCTTGAAAAGGGACTATATTCACACAATATTTGTTGTCCCAGTTAGGAATAAAGGAAAAATAATGAAAATAAATATGAATCATTATTTACACTTATGTACGTAGAAGTTAAATTTAGTTTATTTGACTGACGAATAAGTTAAATGAAGCCTAATACAAAATAAATTTAGAAACAATGTAGATTTATTTTTAATCATAGGTAGCCTTGCAATTCAAATATATTTTATTGAATAAGCATGGGATCTTGTGATAATTTGATAAGGAACTACAAAATCTGCAAACATGAGAATTTTTATTTAGGAAACCAAATCTTTTTGTATAAATAGTTCAAGTTAAGAGAGTATTTCTAAAAATATATGTTTAATTATATAAACTTTTAATTTTACCCTATTTTTTGCATTATTATTTATGGTTTGAAATTTCTATCGTGGTTTTAATCTGTTTGTTAATTGCTTTTTACATGCGGCCAAAAGCAAAAACGTCATGTTTTCTTATCTTTAGCCAGGTAAACAAATTGTAATAGCAATGATTCACTTGAAAATTATTTTTCATTAATGGTTATGTATCAGTGGAAATTAGCTCAAATAAATGTTTTTCTGAAAGTATACTGAATAAATGTTCTTTTTAATTATTTCATTTTTAAAAAGTGATTGCAACCTAATAAATAGTTTACATCACTTTTTATTTATAGATTATGGCTCGATATTAAATAAAAAATAATTTACATTGTCTTACAAATATCAATAATAATTTATCTTTGATTAGGTGAAGAAATTATATTACATACAGAGCAACTAGAATAATTTAATGTTTTATTGCTTTATTTTTCAACTCATTAATTTTTTATCATTTAACATCGATTTTTTTAAGAATCAACTAATAATAAATAACTATAAATCAATAGATTTAAATAGATTTTGCAATGGAAAATTACTATTAACAAATGTAAATATGATTTAAAAATTCGGTAAAAAAAACATGTGGGTGGCCATGGGAGGAGAAGGTGAAAGTTACGAGTAAAAACGAAATCCTCATTTATAAGGTGTTTGTATTTTTTACAAAAGCCTTACCTTAAAAATTATTTAGGGTGGATAAATTTCATTGAAAAAAAAAAAAGGGGGATTTTGAGATTTGTTTCCGAATTTTCAAAATTATTTAATCAAAGGGTTGTTAGTGAAGAAAAACTTATTCGTAACAAAGATTTCAATGATAAAGCTAAACTGCTCAACAAATTATAGGACAAGTTGATATTAATTTGGTAAATTAAATGTAAACAAAACACAAACCTAACCAAATTTAAAGTTTTGACAACTAGGACAGCACTGACAGTCGGTATGGTTACTTTGTTTTGTTTAGAAAAAAATCACACACACTGTCACGGTTAATGGACCTTTTCCGTTACTGATGATCTCTATTATTCATGCGCAAATTCTACTTCCGCGTAAAATCATCAAAATTTATTGCTGTTATGTTTCCTACCCCGAGTTCCAATTATACATCCGCAAATGTCATTTTGTTTTTGAGTTTGATAGTAATGGTAGGGGAGCCAGTGACACTTTAAGGTGCGTTATTGGTGAAAAGTAAAATTTTATTAGAAATATGTATATCGTTCAATCTTAATTTGTAGAATATTTAAATAGTTTGCTACTCATCGAGAATCTTCCATAAAGAACATAAGGACTATTGGCCTCTTTAAAAAAAATTAAAAACATTCTTAACTGACTCTACTTAGTTGACATTTTCAGGTTTAAATAATAGTGTGATATGATATTAAATTCTGTATTTGTCTTAATTTTGTGCAGTATTATTAGTATTATAACTAAGTACATAATTCTTCTTCAGTGACATTATTAAATTTGTTATTTGTAAGACACCCATAGTCATGAACTCTGGGTCTAGATATGTCGTTTTGTATTTCTTTATTAATAAATTGATGAAACCTTAAAGCCCGCGATGATGACGTTTTAAAAAAACATGTGTAAAAAATACTGTCAGAGAAGCACAAACTTAAAATTTTCAGATATTATTTGCATCAAAAGTTAATCCTCTTAGCCAATCCAACAGTTGTAAGGCGAGGATAAGAGAACGCAGAAAGTGTTTGGAAAATGACCAGATTTGCTTTTTTTCGCGCAAGAGTAATGCGAAATTTTCGAATAATGGGAAAGGTCAATTATATGAAGAAAAAAAAAATAATTAATCGTGTAATAATACTAACCTCTTTAAAAAGAGCTCCATAAAACTGAACAATATATTTATTTTCGCTACTTTTCATAATAACATCCAAATCCATCAACAACTGTTTCTGTTCCTTTTCATCTACAGTTGACCTAATTCGCTTGACAGCTACAACAGTCCCTGTTGCCCTGTGAATCATTTTGTTTACTGTACCAAATCCGCCTCTACCAATCTCTCCCAAATCTTGGAGGTCTTCAGAAGTAAAGTCATAACTCAGGCCCTTTATTTGAAGTTTTCCCACTGATGTCATAGAAGTCTTTAACTTGGTTTCGCTAAATTTGTAAAAACAAAAATTTATTTATAATACTCGTATATATTTTATGGTTATTTTACCGTGAAAACGTAAAGGTTGGAACAAATACGATAAAATGTTTATTGGTCCAGTAAAAAATTAATGCTTGGACAAGTTGTTTTTTAGGTGTGCATATTTTGGTATAATATGTATGTTTTTTATGACGTGATAGCCAGTTTTTTTTTATATACATAGCAACACCATTTTTTGATAGTACCATGTAAACGTGTAATTTTTTTTGCGTATGGACAACAAATTTTGTGTATGTTACAGCACAATATTTTCGAGATGAAAAGTTTTAAAAATTTTAAGACATTTAACAATGTTTTCCAAGAATTTTAGAATCGAAAAGCATATTTTCAAGAGATGAAAGTCTTGAAATTCTCATGATTTTGTTATTTTTTATTATTCATTCTAATTTTATTTCATTACATTATTGGATAACCTGTAACGGACCAAAACAATATACGCAAAAATGTACCCTTTTAAATGGTACTATCAAAAAATGGTGGTGCCACTTAAAAAAATGGTAATGGAGTCATAAAAAATATATGTATACCATAATATGCGCATCTAAAAAATAAAATCGACCTATCCGAGCATTAATTTCTTACTTGACTAAAAAACATTTTTTCTACGACCGCATGGATATTAGCTTATCTACGCACAGACTACAAAACGAAAAAGTATGCTATTGCCTTCAACTGAACGAATATATTTAATATCCATTCTAGGTAGTGAGAACACTGTAAAAAAATGAAATCCACCAATCAATTTTCATATTTTGGACACTCAACATCTACTATTTTTAAAATTTTAAAGAAGTGATAATTCTGTCAAACTAAATGTCAGTATATTTTTTAGTTATCGAGATTAAATATACATTAAAATGAGTTATTTTTGTGTAGAATCGATAAATACATTTTTATTTGGTCCAAATTAAAAAAAAAATTAAATTTTATTAAAATTATATGAAACTAATTTAATTACGAGAATTATAAATTAGTAAAATTCATAAATTATTTTTTTAAATTTGAAGATTTTCATTAGTGGGTCGTAGAAAAACTATACTGTACAACTCGAGTGAATTGTCCACATCCACTCTTATTGCACAAACTACTATTATCGAATTTGTTCCAGCATGTATGTAATCAATGTAGAATTTGTAAAGTAGAAATTATTTTTAACCAGGAAAAAATGTAACCGATGTTTCAAAAACAGCCAAGAAAAATTCAAATGATTTTTGCATTAACTTAAAAAAGTTACCTACGTCTTCTGCAAATAAAAAATCGAAATTTTCTAATGTACGGAATATTTTTGTATATTCTTAGTGGTGATATGTTACTCCTGAAGATTTCTCCTTATCTGCACCAGATATACGCTCTGCTTTGAGAGCTTCAGGGGTCACTTGTACTAAATTATAAGAAGATTATTATTTATTATTATTATTATTATTAGTATTATTTCGAAATATAAATATTGTTCGCTAAAGAAATAATGAGCTAAGAGAAAGAAGCGATCGATCCTTACAAACCTCCCAAAAATCGCTGTTACTTTTTCTGAACATTTTAAGAGTTTAAAGTGTTTTGCTTGTGTATTACAAAAATAATCAACATATACAAATAGCTTATTCATTTTATTAATGTTTCGATTTTAATGGTCCGATCAATTTTTATAAGATTATAAGTATAATTGAAATTTGAGTTTATATAAATAATTGTTCCGTCATTTTTATTTAAATTACCATAGCTATACAATAAATCAAAGCCTTTAAGATGAAATAGATTTAAGTCGTATATCTGGAATGTTTCTGTTAATACAAGTATATCAAATTCTTCTTGCAAACTAGCTAGAAAGACACACAGCTCATCAATGTTAGCGGCAATACTACAAATGTTTAAACGAAATATTTTTAAGTTATAATGTGTGCTTTTTGTTATTGGTGAGAATACTGACGTTCATATTCTTTACTATCATGAACTACTATAGTATTAAATAATTAGAGGTGGTCGATATATCATTACCGGTTACTTTTCACCGGTGATTTGAAAATCACTGGCGCTACCGGTGGCTGAGTTTTATTGTTGACAGGTACTTACCAGTGATTTTAACTCGGTCGGTGAAACGCGTTTAACGATAACTTTTATCCGTTGAAAGGGTGAATCTGTGGTTAAACAAAATTGGCCTGGATCGTGATCTATTGATCTCACCACCGTAATTAGCGACCAGCGACGAAGTTTTAAATATCATATTCATTTACCTAGATATTAATAAGTAAATACAGTTTTGAGAATGTCTCAACAATTAAAATCAAAGAGGATAAAGTTTAGTGAAATTTTGAACTTTTTATCCCTATTTTTAACGTGACATTTATCAAAAAAGTTTTCTTTTAAAACTACAAATTCAAATAAACATATGAAATCAAAATCCTACTCTGTGTCCTTGGAAGAAAACATCAGTAATAAGTCACAAAAAATTTGAGGCAACTAAAACTTTTTTACTTTTATGAAAAGAAGATAGGTATAATATATTAAAAATATTCTTTCAAATTACAAAATATCTACAATAAATAAATTCCAATTTTTTTTTTTAATATTTTGGAACGTTACTATAAGGAAAACATGAAAACAAACATTAAAATATTAAAAAAATGTGCTTTTATTTATATTGTTTTTTTTATGGAAACAATAATTGATTTAAAAATAAATATTTTATATTATATCTGTAATATTTTTCATCAATATGCACACTTTCGATTTCTGTACCGCATTCACAGTCGATAGGAATGTATGGATATTACAGTTTCATGAAATTATACATATATCGTAAAATCACCGATCACTGCTAAGAATCGCCGTGATTTTTAAATCACCGGCACCGGTATCCCGGTGAATCTAAAAATAAGGTATCGACCATCTCTATTAATATAATTTTTATATTCTCTAATGAAATCCATTTAAGGGTTTGAGAGTAAGTCTCATAAAAAAAACATAAATCGAAAAAATTAAATAGTATTCGACAATATAAGACTGGAACGATTTATATTATTTTCGCTAGTTATATGGAATAATTATATACAGTGTGTCTACTTAAATTGGAACCATATGGAAAACATTTTTATTATTGATTTTAGGAAAAAAAGTTATTCTTGATAAAAAGTCCTGCATGACCTAAAATACAGTCATCACATATCAAATTTTTCAAGCCGTATACGAGGTTTGTCAAAAAATATGAATTTTGCTCAAGAGTAAAGTACGTTTATTTTTGAAAAGTTGATTAGAATTGAATATTACATTCAAATATGCAATTACACCGATCTATATGAAAAAACAGATTTTCTTATTTTTTATAAACTCTACACATTGATTGTAAATATCTGAAAACGTTATAAATTACGTTAGCTCCTATAAACATGATACGCTTTCCTTTTGTTGATGTTTGTAAAGAATTTAGCAAATTTCTTAATGAAAATTTTCGATTTTGTAAAAAAATAAACGTACTTTACTCTTGAGCAAAATTCATATTTTTTGACAAACCTCGTATACGGCTTGAAAAATTTGATATCTGATGACTGTATTTTAAGTTTTGGGTCATGCAGGACTTTTTATCAAGAATAACTTTTTTTCCTAAAATCAATAATAAAAATGTTTTCCATATGGTTAAAACTTAAGTAGACACACTGTATACATATACCTACTAAAACACGAGAAATAGTGATTAAATAAATACATTTAAACAGTTCATTACGCGACGCGGTATATGCAGGAGAATTCATAGCGATAATGGAACTAATTTCGTTGACGTCAGTAAAGAAATACAAGAATTGTATTCACAAATCAAAACATTTGCCAATGATCGTGAAAATCGTAAATTAGTTTCTTGAGAATAAGATCGAGTGGAATTTCAATCCACCTTGTTCACCTCATCATGGCGGTTTGTGGGAAGCTGCAGTCCCCCAAGCTAAATTTCACTTCAAACGAATCGTAGGTAGACTAACCCTAACTTTTGAAGATCCATATTCACTTAGAGGCAATAATACACTCTCGGCCACTCTACCCTCGATTCAGTGATCCCTATGACCTTTCCGTCTTAACTCCTAGCCATTACCTAATTGGCCAAGCTTTATCCATTTTATCTCAAACAGAGATCACTGATTTGCCTGAGAATCGACTAAAGCAGCACAAATTATTGCAACAAGCTGTTCAAATGTTCCCGACCAGATTAAGAATAATAATAATACTCTCCCTAATTCACCCCCTTACGAGTGAATTTCAACCCCTGATGTCGACTGAACGACTTGTGTAGGGGAAGGGACGGCTATTATTATTATTTGCCGTGGCGCTCCGGGGCGACTTAAAGATGATTGATGGTGCCATTTGACTTACAGGTGAGGAAAACCCGGAAAACCTCACCCACCATCATCGAGACGGTAATGCATGGCGATTTTTTAATCTGCATGTCATATCAACAGAAATTGAATTTCTATTAATACGGCACACATCAAATCCTAAACCGAACCATGCAATTTAATTAAAAATCCACATGGTCCGGTCTGGGATTCGAAGCCCAGCAGTCTCAGACTCATAAACTTGCCTTTAAATGAATATAAGCGCGTTAGACCGCTACACTACCGACCCGATCGCTACACTACCGACCCGAATAGTTTAGTTCTGCTCATCGAAGATAATTGTCCCCCATTATATTGGAAAATGGGCCGTATAATGGAGCCTCATCAGAGCAAGGATGGTTTAATCCGAACTGTCACCGTTCGCACTTCATCAGGATCTACTACCCGTGCAGTGCAAAAAGTGTGTATTCTTCCGATTTGTGCAAATTCGTCTTCACATTGTTAAAATTGCTAATGCACTTCTTACAGACTATAGTTTCTTGAAAGACTTAAGCCTTCCAAGGTCGGCAGCATGTGCAGTTCTGCAACCTTTGGACAACAACCCGTATATACAGTCCATTAAAGAGGCGAGA